GACAGGTTTCATTGGAGTTTCCACACTAAGACAGACTTAGAAGAAGGAAGAGGCCACCCACTTCTCAAAGAATTGTCCAGTTAAAACCTTATGAATAGCAGTGAAACATTGTCTGATATATTACTGAAAGATTTTATAAATAGACCTGAAACAATGTCCGATATAGTGCTGGAAGATGAACCCCTCAGGTTGGAAGACACTCAAAATACTATTTGGGAAGAGCTATCTCCTCAAAGTACAGTTGACCTTAATGATGTGGGCAGAGTAAAGCTTTTGGGACCCCTATTTGCTAATGTGGCATGTATCAAGATGAGAAGAAACAGCTGCAAACATCCATTAATAATTGGAACATGGAATGTAGTAAGTATGAATCTAGGAAAATTACAAGTTGTCAAAAATGAAATGGAACACATAAAGATAGATATCCTAGGCATTAGTGAGATGAGAGGGACTGGTTTTGGCCATTTTGAATCACACAACCATATAATCTACTAGGCCAGGATTGACAAATTGAAAAGGAATGGCATGGCACTCATTGTCACAAAGAATATTTCAAGATCTATCCTGAAGTACAATGCTGTCAGTGATAGGAAAATATCCATATGCCTACAAGGAAGACCAGTTAATATTATTATTATTCAAATTTATGCACCAACTACCAAAGCTAAAAATGAGGAAATTGAAGATTTTTACTAACTTCTGCAGTCCAAAATTGACCAAACATGCAATCAAGATGTGTTGATTATCACTGGTGATTGGAATGCAAAAGTTGGTAACAAAGAAGCATCACTGGTAGTTGGAAAATTTGGCCGTGGTGATAGAAATGATGCTGGAGATCACGTGATAGAATTTTGCAATACCAACGACTTATTCATTGCAAATACCCTTCTCCAACAACATAAATGGCAGCTATACATGTGAACTTCTCCAGATGGAGTACACAGGAATCAGAGTGATTACAGCTGTGGAAAGAGACAATAGAAAAGCTCAGTATCTTTAGCAAAAACAAGACCAGGGGCTGACTATGGAACAAACCATCAATTGTTCATTTGCAAGTTCAAGTTGAAGTTGAAGACAATAAAAACAACTGCACAAGAGCCAAAATATGAACTTGGTTATATCCCTCCTGAATTTAGAGACCACCTAAAGAATAGATTTCATGCATTGAATACCAGTGACCAAAAACCAGAGGAATTGTGGGATGATACCAAGAAGATCATCTATGAAGAAAGCAAAAGTTCCTTAAAAACACAGGAAAGATAGACAAGACCAAATGGATGTCAGATGAGACTTTGAAACTTGTCACAGAACAGAGACTAGCTAAAGCAAATGGAAGAAATGACCAGATAAAACAGCTGAACAGAAGATTTCAAAGAGCAGCTCTAGAAGACAAAGTCAAGTATTATAATGAAATGTGCAAAGACCTGGAGTTAGAAAACCAAAAGGGAAGAACACACTTGGCATTTCTCAAACTGAAAGAACTGAAGAAAAAAATCAAGCCTCTAGATGCAATACTGAAACATTCTGTGGGCAAAGTATTGAATGATGCAGGAAACATCAAAAGAAGGTGGAAGGAATACAAAGAGTCACTGTACCAAAACAATTAGTTGATGTTCATCCATTTCAGGAGGTGGCATAAGATCAAGAACGAATGATAATGAAGGAAGAAGTCAAAGCTACACTGAAGAAATTGGCAAAGAACAAGGGTCCAGGAATTGACTGAATACCCATTGAAATGTTTCAATAAACGATGCCACACTGGAGGCACTCACTTGTCTATGCCAAGAAATGTGGAAGATAGCTACCTAGCCAACTGACTGGAAGAGATCCATATTTGTACCCATTCCAAACAAAACTGATCCCACAGAATGTGGAAATTATTTAACAATATTATTAATATCATACACAAGTAAAATCTTGCTGAAGATAATTAAAAAATGGTTGCAGCATCATATTGACAGAGAATTTCCAGAAATGCAAGCTGGATTCAAAAGAAAACACGGAATGAGAGATTTCATTGCTGATGTCAAATGGATCTTGGCTGAAAGCAAGGAATACCAGAAAGATGTTTACTTGTGTTGTATTGCCTATGCAAAAGCATTCAATTGTGTGGATCATAAAAAATTATGGCTAACATTGAGAAAAATATTTGATTGTGTTCATCAGGAACGTGTTCATAGCCCAGATACTTTCATTTGAACAGAACAAGAGGATACTGCATGGTTTAAAATGAGGAAGGAAGTGTGTCAGTATTGTATCCTTTCACCATACTTATTCAATCTGTATGCAGAACAAATAATCTGAGAAACTAGATTATATGAAGAAGAACATGGCATCAGGATTGAAGAAAGACTCATTAACAACCTGCGATATGCAGATGACACAACTTTGCTTGCTGAAAGTAAGGATGACTTGAAGCACTTACTGATGAAGACTAAACCCTTCATTCTGCAGTATGGATTACATCTCAACATAACGAAAATGAAAATCCTCACAACTGGACCAATAAACAACATAACAATAAATGGAGAGAAGACTGAAGTTGTTAAAGATTTCATATTACTTGGTTTCACAATCAACGCCAATGGAAACAACATTCAAAACATCAGAAGATGTATTACACTGGGAAAATCTGCTACAAAAGACCTCTTTCAAGTACTGAAGATATCTCCTTGAAGACTAAGGTGCGCTTAACTCAAGTCATGGTATTTTCAGTCACCTCACATGCATTTGAGAGCTGGACAATGAACAAGGAAGACCAAAGAAGAGTGGATGCCTTTGAGTTGTGGTTTGGGAAAGAATACTGAAAGTACCATGGACTGCCAAAATAATGAAAAAATCTGTACTGTATGAAGTGCAGCCAGAATTCTCCTGAGAAGTGAGAATGGCCAGAATTTATCTCACCTGCTTTGGTCATGCTGTTAGAATGGACCATTACCTGAAAGGATATTAGGCTTGGTAAAGTGAAGGCTCAATGAAAAAGGAGAAAGCCCTCAATGAGATGGTTTGACACAATGGTTACCATGATGGGCTCAGGTATAGCAAGGATTGTGAGGCTGGCACAGGACTAGGCAGTGTTTCATTCTGTTGTACATGAGGTCGCTATAAGTCAGAGCCAAATCCATAGCACCTAGCAACAACAACAAGGTAAATCCAAAGTAGGAAGAATCAGAGGGAGATGTCTAATATTTCCTTTCAGAAAATCTACGAGTGAGTGAAAGCTGAGGAGACTCAATGCCATCATCTAGTCCAAAGGATAGCAGAAGGTTTGTAGACAGAATTAGGATCAAAACAAGAACAATTTGAAAACAATCAAGAAGCATTCCAGGCAGTGTCGATTACCCAATAAGCAAGGCAAGCATGAACTTACTTGTGTTTATTTACTAGTCTGGAAGGAAGGTTGGGCAATCTACTTCCATAGTGATACTACCTTGGAAACCCAAGCAAGGATGGGTTGCTATGAGTCAGATCTGACTTAACGACAATGAGTTTGGTTTGGTTTAATGAATAATTTCACATTTTTTCACCATATCAAAGATTCTGCTTCTAGGTATGGCTGGTATCTGTGCCTATCCCAATACCACAGTACCTTCCTACAAAATCAAAGCCTCTCTCTTTTCAAATTTACATTCCTTGTCAGGGATGGAAGACCCTGTAAACAAGCTAAGCACAAGCTTACTTTTGCGTACATACTACTCTATTGTGAACAGTTTCACATGTTTTTCAGTTGTTCACTACAGATTAGTAAGTAAGCACAAGTAAGGCCATTCTTACCTTTTTTACTGGGTAATGTGCCCCTTCTTCCAGGTGACTGACAAAACCCCATTGGAATCTTTGCAGCTTGCCTTGATTGAGCAGTAAGGAGCACTGGAGAAGAAGACTGGATAAAATGTAGGACTTGGTATAGTAGAGCTAAATCTCAGCAAGATGGTCACAAAGGAAAGTTGGTCAATTCCACCTTTGAGTAATTGCTGTCTTGAATATCCATATATCTTAGTACTTAATTAACAAATGAACATTCTAATTTGTTTGTTGTTGTTGTTGTTATGTGCCGTCAAGTTGGACCTGACTCATAGCGACCTCTCCTTGGGTTTCTGAGGCAGTATCACTATGGAAGTAGATTGCCCCATCTTCCTTCCTAGGAGTGGCTGGTGGGTATGAACCACCAGCCTTCTGGTTAACAGTCAAGTGCCTTATGCACTATGCTACCAGAGCTCCCTCTAATTTGTTTATGTATGTCTATTTACTATATTTTGAGTTTCTTAAGGATTGGGACCCTGTGTTATATATATTTGTGACTTCAGTTCTTAGCATAGTGCCTCACACAGAAAACACTCAAAAGATATTTGTGAAGTGAATAAAAAAATGACTAATGAAGAACATGACAAGCAGAGGGAATAGATGCAAGTGGTACATTCAGAACAAAGAAAATAGTATGATATGTTTGGTAAAGCTTGAATATGTTCAAAGTTGTATTCAAAATTGTGTTCAAAGTTATATAGAATATGTATTCAGAGTAATTTTGTTGTTATTAGTAAGTAATTAGGGCTTGTTTGTAATGAGATGGCCATCTACAGAATAATTCATATTAAAAAAGGACATATTTATTTACTGTCTTTAAAAATATTTTTATTGTTTATTTATGACTTCATAAGTAGATTTTAATAATAGGGGAAGCTTCCCTGAGTCACATAGAAGACAAGCATTCATTTTGTTAACAGATATTTCCTTGTTCCTATTACACAGTTTTCTCCCAATGGATATTAATGAGTTTAACTACATGGAATGTTCTAGCTCACTAGAAATCTCTTTGGTTTCTTAGAGGAAAATCTGGGAAGCCAGCTGAAGTAAGAATAAAGTGCAGAGGTAGTGTGCTTGGGCTGATGCCATGAGAGTCAGGGAATTTGGGAACCAGAAAAGAAAGGACAAGTGGATGTTTGATTGGTAGAATAAAAGGTGTGGGCACATATGTAATATATTTCCTATGTCTTTATATGTAGATGGAGAAAAATGAGCTCAATGTCTTTGCTTTTCAAACGTACACCTCCCAAGGAATTTGAAGTGGATCAAGATTTTAAGTTTTTCAAGTCTCTTTCCTCACCCAAGGTATCTTAAACAAAACAAAAAACCCTTTTCTTTTGCTTTCCTGAATTCAAATGTGTCCGGTAATACAGAGTATTTATTCTCTACTGATGCTCTAGCAAATTATCACAAACCTGTGGCTTAAACAATGTAAGTTAATTATCTTACAGGTCCATACATCAGAAGTTCAACATGGGTCTCATGGGGCTAAAATCAAAGTCTCAGCATTGCTGTTTAGAACATTCCTTTCTGGAGGCTTTAAAGGAAAATAAGGAGCTCTGGTGGTTAAAGCATTCAGCTACTAACCAAAAGGTTGGAGGTTTGAACCCACAAACAACTCCACAAGAGAAAGATGAGGCAGTTTGCTCCATAAAGATTTACAGCCTTGGAAACCCTATGGAGCAGTTCTACTCTGTCCTGTAGGGTTGTTTTGAGTTGGAATCACCTCAGTGGCAGTTTGTTTGAGTTGTTTTGGTTTTTAAGGGAGAATATGTTCCCTTGCCATTCAAAGCCAGCAACGGTGGTACATCTCTCTGACCATTCTTCTATTGTTACAACTCCCTTCATCTCAGCTAAGAAAGATTCTCCACAATTAAGGATTTGTGTGATTACATTGAATTTACCTAGATAATCCAGGATAGTCTCCTCATCTCAAGGATTTTAACCTTAATAACATTTTCAATCCCTTTTGCTGAGTAAGGTAACATATTCACTGGTTTCAGGGATTAGGATATGGATGTCTTTGGGGCCCATTTCTCTGCCTATCACACATAGACACATTTTCCTTCAGTGCAAATTAAGAGGGAAAAAGTACATGGCTATTCATTCTACCTCAAATTTTAACACTTTCAGAAACTGGGTATGAGCCTTTAAGCTAAAGTTCTCACATTAATTAAAATTAATTTCCTCAAGATTCTCCACAAAATAAACCAACCATACCTTTCTGAATTTATCTCTACATCCCTACTTGCCTTTCTAACATACAGTTATCCCACTCTCTGCTAAACAGATTAGTTGTTGTCTCCCTGAGCATTCCTCTCAGTATTCTGCCCCTACAGCTTTGACTTGTGCTGTTATGCCTTATTCATAGATATAATCCATCTCTATCTTCCAAGTCTACCCTATCTTGTAACACTTATAACTAACAAAGGATTCTCGATACATACATGTAAATAACTTCTAAAAATCAGTAAGAAAAACAGACAACCAATTAAAAATCATTCAAAAACTTGAATAGTTACTTCATCAAAAAAAGTACAAATTGTCAATAAACACATGAAAAGATGTTCAACCTCATTACCAATGATGGAAATGCAAATCAATAACATTGCAAGATACTATTTCATAACTAGGAGCTCTGGTGGCATGGTGCCTAAGGCATTTGACTGCTAACCAGAAGCCTAGTGGTTCAAACCCACCAGCCACTCCTCAGAAGGAAGGTTGGGCAGTCTACTCTATAGTGATATCACCATGGTAACCCAAGGAGGGGTTGTTATGAGTCAGATCTGACTTGCCAGCAGTGCGTTGGTTTGGTTTTGGGTTTATTTCATAACTATTAAAAATTCTGATAATATCAAAGGATGTTGTGTATTTGGCACACTCAGAACAATAATCTGCTGGTGGTGGGAGTGTAAACTGGAAGAACCACTTTGGAAAACAATGTGGTATTACCTATGGAAACTGAAAATAGGAAGACCCTATTAAATATATACTCTAGGGAAACCCTTAAGGATGTGCAAGACTATGCAAGACAGGTACAAAAATGCTCAGAGTAGTGCTGTTTATAATAGTAAAAACAAAGTAGAGGAGTTCTGGCAATATGGTGGAATAGGTAGACAAGCTATACAGACCCTCTGCAACAAAGCTATGAGAAAACCAATTGAAACCAATACAGAAGATGATCCTGGTTTCCTGAGCTTTGAAGAGAAGGATAAAGAAGTGGACTAAACACCAACTAGTAGAAGAACCTGAATGAAAACAGTGAGTAAGGAGACAAATGGAGCTGTGGACTGCTGGCTCTTCTGAGGATGCAGCTATTTTGAATATTTGCAAGCACATCCCACTAACAACCTAAAAATCAGCTCTACTCACCAAGGACTATGTGGGCAAGGACTGCAGTGGTCCTGACAACCAGAAAGGAAAACAGCTAAGAAGGAGACAAACAGAGCTGGGGATTGATAGCTGTCCTCAGGGCACAGCCATTTTTAATATTTGCAAGTGAAGTTCTGACCTGGACAATGACCTAAGAATAGGCTCTGCTTGCCGAGGGCAGCACTGGCAACTGCACTAGAGGCTGATGACTAGAAAGATAAGACATTCCCCGTGTTACTCTTATACCCCAAACATTCTCATTGAATAGAGGTGTGGCCATCCTCCGCCTCCACACACCTTCTTGACCAGCAGAAATTCCATCCTGGTCTGTGCCCTGACAGAGCCTGGATGCTAGGCCTCATTCCCACAGTTTTTTTTTCTTCTTTGTTTTAAAATTACTCTTTTAATTACTCTTCCTTGTGTCTTCCTTTTAAGTTTTTTTCTCTTTCACCTCCTTGGTTCTTGTTTTTCTTTTTTTTTTTTTCTCCCTTCCCTTCCCTTTTCCTGGTTCCCTTTTTTTTCCCTTTCTTTTGGTTCTTCCCATTCCTTGTTTTCCCTTTTGCAGTTTTGCCATTTTTTCTTTCCTATTCTTTTACTCTTGCTCTTTTCTCTTATCCGCCCTCCCCAAATATTGTGGGATTTTTTTTATCATTATTTTTCTTTTGCCTTTTAAAAATATATTATTTTTTTTTCTTATCATTTATTGCCTTTCTCTTTTTCTGAAATTGTTCCTGTTTGGTTATATGGTTTGAGTTTTTGCTCTCTGTTTTTTTTCTTGTTTTTTGTGTTATTTATTTATTTATTTTTGTCTAATTGAGTGAGAGACAGCAACCATTCCCACACAACCCAACCACACCTGTATCACCTGCAGCCCCACCCACTGAGTGAGGGCCATCAACTGCTTTTGTACCAACTGACCAATGATAAACCACATCCAGTAACAGATCAACTCACCCTCAAATGCTCTTTACATACAGCTAGCAGAGATCAGTGCACACATTCTCATACTTTATCACATCCACCAGGAGACAAGTAGTAAATGACTAAATGCTAACAACTACCAAATAGAGGAGCATGCTACCTTGCTCACACAGATATACAAAACAAAGTAAAGGAAAAAAATCTTGGCCAAATCAGACTAACATACAGCCACAACTAAGCATAAATACAACAACACCACAATGTCTCAGAGACAGCCAACCATCACAACCACAAATAGAAGCAAACTCACTGCTATCAAGTTGATTCAACTCATAGAGACCCCCTTTGAGTTTCCAAGGTGATATCTCTATGGAAGTAGATTGTCCAATCTTCCTTTCAAGAAGTGGCTGGTGAGTTCAAACCATCAGCCTTCTGGTTAGCACTCAAATACTTTAGGCACTATTCCACCAGAGCTCTTATCACAGCCTGCACAAAAAAGCAAGATAAAGTTGTAGAAACAAGGGACCAGGATATAAACTCAGTAAATATACCCGAGGAAGAAGCAACATTAGAACTCTCTGATAAAGAATTGAAAAGAATTATGTTTTGGTACCTTCAACATATTAAGAGACAGATCAAGGAAAACACTGACAAGATCAAGGAAAACACAGACAAAATCTACAACAATTTAGGAAAACAATACCAGAACAAATTGACAAAATAACAAAAAATTAGACATGATACAAAAACAGCAAACAGAAACCCAGAAGATTAATACTAAGATTTCACAAATAGATAACACATTGAACAGACAAAGGAGCAGAACTGGAAATGGAAGGTAAAATTAATGAGATTGAAAAAAATACCTCAATATTACTTTGTTAAGAGATCAATCAGAAAAGATATCAAAACAAAATGAAGAAAGCCTAAGATTCATGTGGAATACTATCAAGAGGAACAACCTATGTGTCATTGGAATTCTAGAACAGGAAGAGATCAATAAAACCACAGAGAAAATTATTGAAGACTTGTTGGAAGAGAAGTTCCCTAATATGAGAATAAGATAATTTTCCCTAATATATCAAGAAGTTCAATGAACCCCAAAGAAGATAGACACCAAAAGAAAATCACCAAGACATATCATAATCAAACTCACTAAAACCAATCACAAAGAAGGAATCCTGAAAACAGCATGAAAAATGAAGAGTTACCTGCAAAGAACAACCACTAAGACTAAGCTCTGATTTCTTAGCAGAAACCATGCAGGTGAGAAGAAAAAAAAATTCCAATGAAAAATTATGTACCCAGAAAAACTGTCCCTCAAATATGATGGTGAAATTAAGACATTTCCTGATAAGCAGAAATTAAGGGAATTTGTCAAAATCAGACCAACCTTACAAGAGATGCCAAAGGAAGTCATTCGGACAGAAAACCAACAACATCAAATAACAGCCAGTGATTAACACATATGATGACATAAGCCAGAAACCAACCTACTTATAGAAGTATCCAAAGTAAAATAAGTTTACAAGACTTTAAAGAGGGAACCAGAGACATCAATTGGTAGCTGATGACATCAACAAATCAAAAAGAGGGAATAAATAGTGCAGTTACAGTACTTCTAAATGGTGAGGAAGTCAAGACAATTGTGAGATAGAACAGACTGTCTTAAACTTGGGAAGAAAATTATAAATCACAGGGTACCCTCAAAGAAAAATAATAAACATTTGCATCAAAACAAAAATAAGGACAAGTACAAATATTTAGCAAACACTAAAACAATAGCAACAAAGGAGATGATAACATGATTCATAAGCAAAATGAGCTCAGCACAGAAAATTATATGGAACAGAGAAATTAGCAACACTGGGAAAAAACACATAAGAAAATTATATCAATAAATTCATGCTTGTCAATAATTATACTGAATGTAAATGGATTAAATGCACCACTCAAGAGAGGGAGAGTTCCAGACTGGGTAAGAATACATGACCCATCAATATTCTGTCTAT